TCAAGGCACTTGAAAATTTTGACCAACGTAGTCTATGCTCCATCCTCCGAGTTCGCTGGGAAGACAAAGAGAATAAATGCCAGTATTCTTGCTGACACCAACTGTAGGAGCATCGAGGCTACCATTATCCATGAACAACTATGTTGGACTGGCCATAATACCCGCATGGACGACAGTAGACGCCCAAAGCAGCTTCTTTACAGTCACCAAACGATTAGTAAGCATAATGCTGGTGCTTAATTGAAAAAAGTGTCAAATTGACCCACTCATCTGGGAGACGAATACTCCACGCTGTAACACTTAGAGGAGCACCACACAAGAAGGTGTCAATACTTTCGAGTGAGACCGACTGCAAAACGAGGTAGACAAGCGCCAATGCCGTAAAGACGCTGTCACTCTAGATGTAGTCCCCCACATGTGCAACATCTGTGAACGATCTTGCAAGTCCAGTACCGACCTCTTTAGTCACCTCAAAACTCACCAACAGAGGTGACATCCTAAATAACTCATTTCATTGTATCATAGTTGGATGATCGTCATACTGGATTCAGAGTGACAGCAAAGTAATAGTAGTAGTAGTTTGTGTGTGTGTGTGTGTGTGTGTTACACTGACTAGGCTAAATAGGAATAATTGCCTAAAGCCGGCGTTACATGGGCACTTGCACCGGCAATTTTCACTTTTGGCTAGCACCTCGACAGTTGTTTTTCCTGTATTTTTTTATTAAATGTTTTCATGTGACAGAAGTTCCATTGCCACTTCGGGCGGCTGTAGCCAAACCAAAGCAATAACAAGATGGCTGCCTTTGAAGACGTTGACTGTGAAATGTTAGCTCTTATATCTCTAATTTGTATTCGCATAAACGTGAGAAAGAACGCTCGTGGACTTGTTCCTGGATGGCGAGAAAGATGAAAGCTTGGCCCTAAACTACAGAGGATAAATTTCCTACCTGTGTATATGATTTAAAGTTCCATATAATACGATTTGTTTTGTAATTTTTTTTTAAATAAAAAGATAAATACTAGTAAGTGGACAAGGAGAAGGATATTAACAACTAATTTAAATTAGCCATTGTGGAGCATTTTATATAATTTTTCTATTTTTTCTATATATTATAATTAGTTGGATGATAACCGTTCATCACACGAATACTAAATATACAATTTCTTTTAACTTTTGATATAATACAAGTGGTTCTCTTTTGACTCCTGAGAATTGCTGGTATCTGCGATTTTAAGATCAACACGCCGCGCTGGAGAAATCAGTTGCTGGCAGATGAAACTCCAACCGTGAGCCCAGTACCAGTGTCCTACTACTACTGTAGTCCTGGCTCTGCACTGCACTTTCGCTGATAATTTTTGGTACACAATGCTTTACACTTGATTTCTTAGAAAGGATATATTCGCCCGCTAGGGGCTAAATCCAAGATGGCCACCATTATACATAGTAAAACATTGAGCCAGCCATAACTTTGGATTTAGAATGCCTAGAATAACAAACTTGGTATCAATTTTGGCTAATTTTTACATGCCTGATACGTCAGACATGTCTATTCTATGATCTAAGGTCATTTTCACCCAAAAATCCGATATGGTTGCTTTCGCTGAACACGTACTGTACATACTCAAAATAATGAAATTATCATAACTTGGGAACTAGCCGGGGCACAGTGACAAACTTGGTACCAATTCAGACTGAGATTCTTTCTTAGACTCATTGGTTAAACTACCTTATATAATAAAAAATGAACATTGCAAGGTAAACCCACAAAAATAAATCTACACGTGTTCTCAAGGGAATGCTTCCATGTCAAAAACTCCCTGCACCTTTTACCCATGAGGTAACATGCACGATTGGTCACGGACGCGTTGATTCTGTTGTATATTAATGACAATATACAGGAGAGAAACAAAGGCAATACAGTAGTGATAAAGATATCACAATATACATTAAACATTATTTATTAAAAATTAAGTTGAGTATATGAACACTTATAAAGAATACAACAATACAAGAACCACTCTTTTAGGGTTCACTCAATACTTGACAAAAAAACTATTGAACACTGGCACAAAATATAAGGACCACTGGGTCCTACTTTATTGTTAGAGAAATAAGTATTTCCATGTAACACTAGCAATGTTCAGTAGAAAATACTACAGCCCCTCAGGATGTGAGGAGGCTAGGACAAAAGCAGGAGAACAAGCCTCACCCCCTCAGCATCACACTAGTGAGAGAGGATAAGAAATGGGAAGTTATTCAGCAGGCAAAAAATTTAGCAATGAGCGATGGATTTCAGAATATATTCATAAATCCAGATCGCCCCGTAATACAGAGGGAACAGCACAAAAAACGCCTGTTGTGCTTGAAGAAGAAGAGGGAGAATTTGATGAGGAACGGGGACGGACGTGCATGGGTTATATAATTAAGGAGAAGGTAATGGAGATAAGTGCGCCAGTACATGCACAGTCTCGTTCAAGATTCTTCGAACACTGCTGGAGACAGCTGGCAACTGAAGGCCGTTTGTTTACTATAGTACGGAGTCAAAATTATGAATGAGTGTATAAGTGATCTGTGATTGGTTACTTAGTTCTCCGTTGCTTAATTAATGGTTGGGCTTTGTTGTTTCGTATTATATTATACTACGTACTATAGTAAACAAGCGGCCTTGAGTTGTCAGCTGTCTCCAGCAATGTTCGAAGAGTCTTGAACGAGACTGTACTACATGTAAACAATGTCATCTCTGACCACTCCCCACAAAATACGCTGCAGCTGCTGAGAATGGAGGGAGGCCAGAGTCACTACCACTTTCGACAGCATACCCCATGAAAGGCTGAAAATTAAACTGGAACTGCTATTCAGGGAAATGTCCAAGCATGGATCGGAAACTTTCTGCATGATCGCAAGCAATGTGTGGTGATTAATGGTACGAAATCGTCATGTGTACCCTTGACAAGCGTGGTACTATTGAGCCGGTTGTTGTTTGTTTGTTTCATAAATGACGTGCCAGAAGCTACAGTAAACACTCCTCCATACAAATGTTTCCCGACGATGCCAAGTTATTAAGGGACTTTAAAATCAAACAGACTCTGAAGAGCTGCAAAAATATCTCTGAGCTTCAAGAGTGGTTAAAGAAATGACTGCTAAGATTCAATGCCACGAAGTGTAAGAGGATTCACCTGGGACGTACCAACGGTAAGGAGGCGTATCATATGTCCCAACGGAACGAAGAAACTGCATTAATGGAGACAATGCGAAAAGGACCTGGGTGTGTAGGTTGACAATAAATTTAAGTTCTCGGGCCATTGTTAGGTGAATCAAGCAACTAAATTATTAGGTCTTATAAGAAGGTCGTAAAGATCTTCAAGAGTGAAGTGCTTCCCCGCCTGTACAGTAGTACCGTCACCCTGTTTGGTCCCCGAGTTATGCTAGGGACTCTCAGTTGATTGAAAATATCTAAAGGAGGGTCACCAGACTAGTGCCTGCACTTCGGCACCTCAATTATCCAGAGATATTAGAGCGCCTGCAGCTGCCTAGCTTATACTACAGACGGGCAAGGGGGGACCTAATTGAGGTCTATAAACATATCAAAGGGCACTACTCAGTCGACTGTCCATACCTGGAGGTAGTGGGCGCCCGCCCCACAAGGTGTCATAGCTCTAGGTTGAAGGCTACAAGTCCAGAAAACTGTGAGGGCAAACTTTTTCAGAGTGAGAACTGTGAACTCTTGGAACAACCTGTCAGAGTGTGTTGTGACGGCACCGAGCGTGAGCTCTTTCAAAACCAGACTTAACCAACACTGGAGCAGGTTCAGATAAATTCAGGAACCACTGCATGTCCAGTACTTGCCAACAGTGTGTAACAAAAACGTAACCAACCACCCAAGCGGCTATCGAGCCGATCAGTGGTGAAGGGATATAAGTAAAAGTAAAAAAGAACAACGGTAACATTCTACAATATTGACACACGAAAATAATGGTTCTTCAGCACTTCAATTCACTAACAATTATATAGGTACTTTGTAGTACTCATAAACACTCTTAAAACCTTTTCAAGATGGCTATGCATATACTCAACACTGGGCTACAGATTATACTGACGGCATACAAGAACCACGACTGTATGAGTCGTAGTGATACAACTTTACCTCCCATTGCTTATTAATATTACACCTTATAACCATATAACACCCTTTACAACACAGGTCACCTCGACAACAATTTACTGCGTAAATAATATACCTGAGACGGAACAGATACTGATGAGTTACCACATGGCTCACGGGTTCGGTAGCCCGTACACCCAGGTACATGCTCGGGCTCTGCAACTTGGTGTGCCCCACTCAGATTTTAATTTTTTTTTACCCAATACATTCTGCGTCAGTCATCCTGTCTACAGCCTATTGTCGATTCACAGTAGCTATAATTCCACATACAGTGCCTGGATATACGGGACGAACGCGAGTCAGAATGCAATATAAACTAACTTATAGGTTTATTTAGAACAGACGTCTTGTGCAAAGAAATGATTGGCGTATGATTTTTTCAAATATTATAATACGTCTAATTACGTTAACAGGGCTAATTGTATATTCAGACAAAGCACAACTAAGTCAAATTAACTCATTATGACGGTACGAAACAACTCCGGTCATGTCTCTCAGAGTACTAGTATATGCCCTAGGCCTAGGGGTTACTCAGGCGGCACTTAACAGACATGTTTATTGGTTTGAAATATTGTACACGTGGTTCTATAAAAATTATTATAACAGGTCCACGTTGATCTCTCAAGGCTAACATTTATAATCTAATCAGTGTCTTAGCTTTCAATGCGGAATGGTAATTCAGGCTCTGTAGTTAGTCAGCAGATGGCGGAACAAGGGGCACCCACGGAACATAAGAAAATAAGAAAATAAGGAGTCTGCAATAGGCCGGTTGGCCTCTGCATGGCAGCTCCTGTCGAGAGTTACTACCTGTATCACTCTCTATCATCCATGAATCTATCTCGCCTCCTTTTAAAACTTTCCAGCGTTCCAGCACTTACTACAAATTTGCTAAGCTTCTTCCACTCGTCCACCACCCTTCCTATCTCCCTCCTAAACCTAAACTTATCCAACTTCAATCCGTTGCTACGAGTCCTATCCTGCTCGGATATTATAAGAACTTTATCTATATCCCCTTTATTGATTCCTTTTACCCACTTAAATACTTCTATCATATCTCCCTGCACTCTTCGTCTTTCTAGGGAATGCAAATTTAGTTTCTTTAGCCTTTCTTGATATGGTAGGTTTCTAAGTCCCGGAATCATTTTCGTCATTCTTCGCTGCACCGACTCCAGTGAATTGATATCCATTCTATAATAAGGGCACCAGAACTGAACCGTATAATCGAGGTGCGGCCTGACTAGCGCAAGATATAATTGCAATAAGACCTCTGCACTCTTATTACTTTCACTTCTAGATATAAAACCTAATACTCTGTTTGCCTTATTTCGAACATGCACTGTTTTCTAGGCCGTAGGTCCGGGCTTACAAGTACCCCTTAGTCTCTTTCACAAGTCGACTTCTCTAGGTTGATGCTGTTAAGGCTGTATACATTGACAGTATTTTTTCTTCCAATATTAAGTATGCTGCACTTGCTGGTGTTGAATTTCATTTGCCATTTTTCTGACCACCCCTGCAGTTTATTTAAATCCTCCTGTAGTGCATTTGCATCCTGCCCTGAATTAATCTGCCGCCCTATTTTCACTTCAGGGATTTCTGGCCATTGAAAGGTCCCTCTCCAATGATTAATGAGGTTCTTAAATACAAAAATGACAATCATTTCAATACATTTATTAGAGTCTCTTGTGTCTATAGATCAAGGATACGTAAGTTCAGTAGTGAACTGATATCTTTCAACTTCATGAGAGGTATGAACAGGAATCTCTTAGTCTTAGGCTTGAAAGTTCAGAAGACTTTGTTATATTACAGTTTTCACTAAAATTAAATTCCGTTGAAGCTTTCAACGTACACTCAATGGATCTTGAATGCTTCAACTAACAGCAGGTATATATATTATGGCTACTCATATGTGTTACCTTGTACTTTTAAATTTACACACATCAACAGAGCATTTCAGAGAAGAGAGAAAATGAAATATAAACACATACAAGAGAAAACTACTTTCGAGTGCGTAACTTAAGAGCTAGTCATACATGTTATATGTGCGATGGAGCATAATATGAATGTGTGGGTGTTAATATAATATCGGTGCAACTGTGACCAATACACTAATGCAGGAGGTATTGAAATTAAAAGTAGAATGGGATGAGTACCTACCCAAAGGAATATTGGACAAGTGGGACGCATATAATTTAAACCCCTGGGGCATATCATGGTTGAAATTCCCTAGAATGACTTGTAAAAAACAAACAGTTTACCTTTATAGCTTCTATGTTTTCTGCGACGTAAGCCCGGGAGCCCATGGGACTGTAGCTTTTATAGTAAACAAAATTGAAAACCCAACATGTCGACAATTAGAGTGGCACCGACAATTAGAGTGGCACCGACAATTAGAGTGGCACCGACAATTAGAGTAGCACCGACAATTCGAGTAGCACCGACAATTCGAGTGGCACCGACAATTAGAGTGGCACCGACAATTAGAGTGGCACCGACAATTAGAGTGGCACCGACAATTAGAGTGGCACCGACAATTAGAGTAGCACCGACAATTAGAGCACCGACAATTCGAGTGGCACCGACAATTAGAGTGGCACCGACAATTAGAGTGGCACCGACAATTAGAGTGGCACCGACAATTAGAGTGGCACCGACAATTAGAGTGGCACCGACAATTAGAGTAGCACCGACAATTAGAGTGGCACTTATTGAGAAATAGACTTTACCACGGTTAGAATTATCAGCAATTGTTATGGGTTGTAAGTTAACAGCTATCTGAAAGTTAACCTAAGTCATGTCACAATTAATGAGATTTATGTTTGGACAGATAGTTAAGTCGTACTGCAATGAGTCACTAATAACAAATCCAATACAATCTTTGTACAATATCTGGTGGCTGAAGTCCTTAAGGGGTTACCATACCGAAAATTGCATTATGTGAGTAAAAAACAAAATCCAGCTGATTATTTAACTACAGTAATAAATGTTGATAGGTTTATAAAAATCGATTATGGCACCACGGACCGGGTGGCTAAGCAATGAAAGTTATGTCAGCTCCATTACCTAGGTAGTTGCCAGTTATGCAACTACTCACGTATGGGAACTTCACTTGAACTGCGAGGATTATAGCACCCTCAGCAAATTATTGAGAGTGACGGACAGAGTAATTGAAGTGCCAATAAACTTAACTCTCTAGTTTAATGGATTAAACCAGTATAAAGGGATATATTCTCTTGGAAATACAAGACGTTAAAATCAGGTAGTGCAAATATGCAGCCTCATTAGGCGTCAAGTGAACCACACACCATGGAACAAACTAGTTTAATACAGAACCTTAGATTATTTAAGAGAGGCGAAATGATTCGAACCTTTAGTAGTAGAAATTGTTGACCACCAGGAAGAATTTTAGAAATTTACCCTAATGATATTGATGAAATTAGTGTTATAAAACTTAAGACTAGAATGGGGAAAGTAATTCGTTCAATAAAGCATCTCTATCCACTGGAAGAATCAGTGGAGAGAAATAACGAAGCTTAGGACGAACTCACTAATGATCATGTGCAGCACCAAACAAAGTCAACAGATACAGTACACTTGCCTTAGATGTAAATTTAGATATAAAACCTAACAAAAGAAAGGTCGCCGAACGTTGCCGGGCTCGACTCAAGAAATTATGTTATCAAAGTCTAATTAACCCGAGTCAACCCATAAGCAGGGGCAGAGCTAATTATGTGACGTCTTTGGAATGTAGTGGAAGAAAATGTGAGAAAAGGAGGACTCGTATATTATTGCAGGTGAGACCACCCCGCTATATTAGAAGATATTCTTGCCATATTGAACGTCCCATGTCATCATTATTTTCATGACAGTCCTATTCGCATTATTAAAATTGTATTATAATAATTATTAATAATCGTCTTTTTTCTCTCTTGAATTATAATTTATACTCTTTTGATTTTGCTGCCTATAACGGTGCAAAAGCAATTAAATAATCATGGGCATATAGACTAGCTATTTACTGTGGGGGGGGGGTAGAAGAAATACAAGAATTAAAAAAATAGTTAAAGAAAATAATAAAAATGGTTAATGATTATAATTATCATCATTGTCTCTTCCCAAGCTATTACAATAAATCAGCGAATACAATTATATGTGTAGAAGTTTTCAATTTATCAATTTGCCCACTAGATATATTACAGATGACTCGGCTATACAACAGTTTCAAACAACAAATAGGTATTTGTCCCTACACATCCGGTTTCCTAGCTGAACATTAGACCTCAGGGAATTTAAATTTAAACCTGGCAATGGCTCTCAAGTATTGCCCTTCCTCCTGTTGCACCCAGTGAATTTCAGGTATTGACCAATGAGTATCAGAGTATCGGATTATAATAATCATGAAGGAAATGTCCAAACAACAAGGCACCAAAGGTTTTTAAGATAACTCGCACAACACTCAGTCACAACACTCCAATATAATTGTGCAGAATTTTTGAATAGTGGCTTACACTTATAAATTTGTGGTAGAACTGCAAATCCCGTGGTAAAATGAAAAGTAAAATACGAGGCTCTACTCCATTACAGTTAAAAATTTTACCTATCAAAATTCTGAAAGATCACTTTTCACTGCGATTTCATAATTGTAAATGGAGCAGTCTATGCACTAATTCAATAGCATACCCTAAAATAAGCAAATAATAAAGGGATTACAATAGATTTAAATCGCATTACTAACCATTATGGGAGACCGAAATTGTCGTATGCCGCCTCAGTAACACATGTTATAAACTCGACTGTTCTTTTACACCACCGTAAAATGAATTGTCCAAAACATTGCCCCAAGTGAAGTGCACTGTACCTGCATATTAGCATCAGTGACAATACAGTACGGTAAGGTTTAGATCAGGAGTGTCAAACTCATTTGCCAAGGCGGGCCAGTTTTAATATGAGTACACAGTATGCGGGCCAAGTAACATAATTATGAGCACTTCGCACTCACCTCTTAGGTGAGTAGTACGAAAACATAAGAAAGGTGGATTTAGTCTGCGCTCGTGCGAAACCCTTAAAAACAAACAAATAGAGTGTTTACTTACCTTGATCAATCTTATTGTTTGCTACTGCTGCTTCCTGATAATTGGCACCTCTTGGTATGGACCAGTGTATCAAAGT